AAAAAAAAACAATACCATTGTATTGCCATGGTTAACTGATTATAGTCAAAATAAATGAAAGCAACACAGAATTTGGTGTGTAGCATGTTGTGACACATATGGGATGTCATGATTGTGGGGCTTATCCTACAGGATTGTGTCTACATCTCATGCACTGACAGAGGGAGCTGACAGATTGCTTCCTTTGGCAGTCAAATCCAGACGATTAAGGCATCAGCCATGTCTGACTGGCTATATGTTGTAATGCATGAAGTATTCTTTGTTGCATGTAGGCCTACACATATCTAGGCAAGGATGTCTGACAATTCGAATAGACATTGCGATCTGAATTTCTGTTTCACTTGTATTTGTTATAATTTATCATATGCTTTCTATATAAGCACATTCAGAATGTGGAATAGGTTTAGTTAAATCATAATATAAACATGCAATAAGTAAGCTGTCGAAGTTTAGCTGGTGTTGGTGTGACTGTCTCTCCCTGTCTCACCTACACGTCTCATTCCTCAGATCCATGACTATTGGCGGAGTGACTTTCCCGCTGGAGCAGCAGTCTAAAGACCCCCAGTCTGTAGTGTACACTGGGATGTATGACACTGAGGGAGTGACACACACCAAAAGCGGCGAGAGGCAACCTGTTCAGGTCAACATACAGGTGAGAACTGACAACCTGACAAGCTGAAAGTTTTTCAAATGGGTTTATGAGGTTTCTCTTTGAAGCTTATCTTAGAAATAGGAAGTACAGCAATGCAGCTCACTAGGATTTGAAACGAGGAATATATTATAACAGCCATGAGTTTCGCCTGATGTGTCGTTTCTGTGCTCGACAGTTCACTCTGGCAGGGCTTTTCGAGACCGTCTGGCAGGTCAAGTTCTACAACTACAGCAAGAGAGACCACTGCCAATGGGGGAACAGCTTCAACAACATCGAGTACGAGTGTAAACCCAACGACACGCGTACCCTCATGTGGATCAATAAAGAACTGTTTCTGTAAAAGAGTCTATGGCTCACTGTGAGAGAAGACAATCTCATATACTGAGCTAAACACACTGTCGTTCTCATTGAAATATGAACCAGCGGTTCCTGATAGTGTAGGTATGTAGCCTTTCCTGTTAGTGACGGGTTGTGATGAAGTGCGAGTTTTGTTGGATTTGTCTTGGTGCTGCTGGAAAATCAAGGCATTGTGTCTAATGCAAAATAGTTGCACTTTACCCTGTGTTGTCTCTTTTGCAGTTTTCCTTCCAGTTGTCTACCTCTGAAGAACCCAGTGAGGATGAAGTTTACTTTTATATTTACAGTTTACAGATTTGATATAGATTTCATGTTAGCATACAGTTTGTTAATCCAAGTAAATGTAGCATTTTTGCAGTAAATTTGACCTATATTAATATAGTTCTAGTGTGTCTTTTTATGAGTGTTTTGTAATGGTGCATTGTGTGCAATAATGGTAAGTTGGGTGTATTTTTCCATTTTTCAAAATGGCAATGCTCTTTAAAAGAAAAATAAAGTATACCAAAAATGGGATGTGGTGTGCTTTAACTGAGTAGTCTTGGACTTGCACATGTCGGCATGCATGCAGCACCACGCAGAGGTTTTCAGACCCCAGTGTCACTGCAGAAATACCCTTATTTATTTATTTTTTGTAAAAAAAAAAACTGATTATCCCAAAACTGGAAATGACTGATAATAGAGGAATACCAAGATAAAGTAGCACTTGGCTCTTCAAATGATCTCAACATGCAGGCAGCAGGTGGCGCTGCAGCATAGTGTTTATGAAATATAAAGAGAAGACACTATTTGATTATTCACAATTGATAGTGTCCAAGAAATTAACATTAGTGATACCCACATGATATGTAAATATGATGGAAGGCCTAAGACAGTTCATATATCGAGCAAATGCTTCAAAGTCACTTTCAGAGCCTTTGTAAATGACCTTAACATCTTAAATGAGGTAAGACCCTAAGACCACGATGAGACTTTAAAGTAAGGTGGGGTAAGACCACTTTAAAACCGTCTTAAAGGGTTTAAGGAATCTCAATCAGATTAGGTTTTAACATAACAAATATATATGTGTGTCCATCTCACTGAAGTGCGAATAGTTGAATATATATATATATATATATAATTTCAGATACATTTTTTGTGGTGATTTTAAAAAAGTATGTTTAAATAAGGTTACTCCAGACTTTCAGGTGGAAAAAATGTTTCTATAAAAATTCTATAGAGAGAAGAATGAAACGGTAGTAATGATTTCAAATTCAGTTTTCTAAAAATGGTTAACAATTATTACGTTAAACATTAAGTTAATATCTGAAGTCAAACTAATACAGAAAAGCATTGCAGAATTCAGCACATCTATATTTCCTGTACTGCTGTTTACTGCTGTACTTACCCACCAAAAATGTCACTTTTTGGAGGATAATGTCATTATGGCTTCTCTCAATGAAATTACAAAAATGACTAACAGGTGTGAAGTGATATTTATGGAACTGGAAGAACTTATAAATTCACTAACCATGTATTCTTTGTTCTCCCATAGAATGTTTTAAAGGGGTCATATGATGTTGCTAAAAAGAACATTA